GTCATTCTTTGGGGCAAAAAATTCAGTGGCATCGACTTGGCCACTCCCACCCAGTCACATGACTGCCAAGCTACTCCCCCAAAGTCACATGACCACCAAGCCACTCCCACTAACCCAGCCACACCTACAGAACAGGTTATAAAAAATTTTAAAACCCACCACTGATCTGTACAATATAGACAGTCAAAAGCAAAAAAACAAAAACAAAAAATCCCACCACTTGTTTAGCCAACGTTCTCACAATGGACAGAGAAAGACGAATATGTCACCTTGAATTCACCAATCTGGACATATAGAAAGTATGGCACAATTGGGGATTATCCCTTCATTTACAGATATCTTTGCATTATAGAATACTCTCTCTCTTTCCATTATAATCTAGTTTTTTTCTTTTTAACATACCCTATATCAGTGATGTCTAACCTTTTCCTAAAGGTGTGCTAAAATTGTGTGTGCGCACAATATCGCGCGCACACGTGAGCCCACCCAACTGCGCATGCATGCAAACCCCCGTCCTCATGCATGTGTGTGCATTTCCCCACATGGGGGGGGGATTTTCACCCTCCCCAGGCTCCGGAGGCTGTCCTGAAGACTAGGGAGGGTGAAAAACAGCCGAATGAACTTCCGGTTTGCCCATTGGGCCATTTTTCACCTTCCCAAGGCTTCAGGAAAGCCTCTGGAGCCTAGGGAGAGTGAAAAATGGCCCAATAGCTGAAGCAGAAGTTTAGGAACAAACTATTTTTATCTTACATTTTCATTTACATTTCATTTGCCTTTTAATTCGACTCCTCTCCTATAATTCTAGGTTCTTTTCCAAATTATTCAATTTCCTGTTTCTTTTTGTCTATATTCATTTTCTAGCCAGTAATTAAAACATCCCCATATCTTATAATGCTCTGATTCTTCCTTCTCTTTAATTGTCAATGTTAATCTATTCATTTCTGCACAGTCTAATTTTTTTTTAAATTACCTCTACTTCTAAGGGAATTCTTTTCCATTTTCCAATTTTGTGCAAATACAATTATAGCTGCAGTTATTACATGAATAATTACATATACGTTTTCTTTATTATATTTCTCTGGTAAAATATCCAACAAAAACTCTTCCAGCTTTAAATTANCTCACCCAGTTCATATTATAGCCACCAAAGTTGAAACCAGAACCTTGGCAAAAGAGATGTAGGGATTCTCCAGGTCTCCTCAGGTCCCCACCAGATTCCACCAACTGGGCCTGAGATTGGACACCTAAAAAGAAAGGGGTTTCAGGGAGGTTGCCTGTGTACAAGAATTAAAATGTGAAGAAGTTGAATAGGAAGAAAACTTTAGCATTACCTCTGAAGACTGCGAGTAAGGACACCAAGTTTAGCCACAGGATCATTTTTGCTCCCTCTAATGAATGCAGGAAATTAATTGGAAAAGATGCGGGAAAGTGCACAAGCTTTATGTTGTTGGGTGTAATCTAAAAAGGATATCATGGAGATCCTTTAAAGTGGAAATTGTGCCCTGATTTACATATTGCTTTGGATAATGCGATCTAAAAAAGGTATGTATCTCTGTGTGTATAAATGGTTTTTAAAACTGTTGTTTTAACCAGTGTTTGTGTGATACTACATAGGCAAGCAATAATGATTTAACAAGTACTGATTGGATTTGTATCAGGGGTGGGTTTCAACCAGTACAGCCTGGTACGGCCATACCAGATGGTGAAATTTAGCGTGCTTTCCCTTACCTGTTTTTCAGGAGGCCCTGTACCGGAAGGCTCCCTCCCCTCGTTCGCTCTTTCACTCACCCTGCCCATCCTCTCCATGCTGCTGAAAAGTTCTCAGAAGAATAACCAAAAGAAGACAGAACTGGTGAGTGGCTGGGGAGGGGTGGGAGGATGTTGGGGAAGAGGGAAGAGGCAGAGGGGCTGCTGGAAGAGTGTGTGGGTGTGCACAGGCTGTGGGCTTTCAAAAACGTCCGAGTAAATCCAGGAAGAGGGAAAAGACAGAGGGGCGAAGATACTATAGGAACACACACTTCCAGCCCCTCTGCCTCTTCCCTCTTCCTGGATTTATTCAGATGTTTTTAAAACTCACAGCCTGGTCACATGCACACACTTCCAGCCCCCCTGCCTCGTCCCTCTTCCTGGATTCACTCAGACATTTTTAAAACTCACAGCCTGTGCATACGCACACACTCTTCCACTCTTTTAAAAATGTCTGAGTGAATCCAGGAAGAAGGAAGAGGCAGAGGGCCTGGAAGTGTGTGTGCTGTGCACAGGCTGTGAGTTTTAGAAATGTCTTGTGTGTGTAAAGGCTGTAAGTTTTAAAAATATCTGAGTGAATTCAGGAAGAGGGAAGAGGCAGAGAGGCTGGAAGAGTGTGTGTAAGGTGGTCAGTAATGTTGAAGACCCACAAGGACAGCCATAATTCCTCTGTAAGTAACTGTTTTCTGTACTTATTTTATTCTTATTTAAGTAGTAAGTGCACAAAATAATAATTTTCCTTTTTTATATCTTCCTTTTGTAGGTCATTCTTTGGGGCAAAAAATTCAGTGGCATCGACTTGGCCACTCCCACCCAGTCACATGACTGCCAAGCT